CATTGACAATACGAAACTATTTGTATTTAAGATCCAACTTCGTTGGCATAAGCTTAGAGAAAAAATAATAATATTTATTATTTTCAAGAAAAGTTACTTTTTGGTATTTGATACTATTAAAAATAGATTTTTTTTTTAAATCAAAAAGGAAGAAAAGTTACCCCTCACTTCATTTGAATGTAGAAAGTGAAGTATTTTCATATTATTCTGAGTGAATTTTGAAAATATTACAGTTATTTCTTACAATTATACACATCACATTTTTGAGATTACATGAAAACTATGCTGCATATATATCACGTGTCCATTATTGGTTGTTATGAAGTTAATAAATTTTACATGATATAAAAATTTAAAATTGGTATATCTATTTTCTTACATATAATTTCTACTTACGTATGGGTCTTTTGCTTGTATAGAATAGCAAATTAATAATGTAAAATAAATACAGTAGCTACTGTTTGATTTATTTGTGTTCCTTAGCAAATAGTTTAATTTATTTGTGTTTCTTAACAAATTGTTTGTCAGTGTCGCTTGCCTCTCTTGCTTTATACAACATAATTGTATATATTGTGTTTCTGTTTGTATAAAGCGAGAGAAAATTTTATATACACATGCAAATGCAAATATCTCCGTCCTATACACTTATAATTACAACGAAATGGGCATAGCTTTCAGTTTTATATGTATAGCGAATTATATATTTATATATTTGTTATGGAGCGCAATTATGCAAATTTTGCTGTAGCATACAAATTTGAATTTTATGTTTGCAAGTTGCCCTTTTATTTTTATTTGGCCCATTGCAACTAAAAAACAGTTTTTACTTGTAATAAATAAATATTAATAAAGAGTGATAAAATCTTTATTAATATTAGTTAACTGATATTGAATTTAATGTCAGTATAAGCTTTGAAGATATTTACAAAAATTGCTACATATTACTAAAAATTTATTTTTAACTACAATTAAGTTATTACAATTCTGCAATTATTTTTCACTTTCCATATCATTGTTTTTTTATTTAGGGATAATGCCCAAGTACCCCCTCAACCTATGCCCGATATCTCAGAGACACACTTATACTATACTAAGGTCCTATTACCCCCCTGAACTTATTTTATTAATAATTTTTTACCCCTTTTTAGCCTACGTGGCACTATCTTGTGGGCCCAATGATGGTTGATTTTTTTTTCAAACTAGTGCCACGTAAGCTAAAAAGGGGTAGAAAATTACTTATAAAATAAGTTCAGGGGTAATAGAACCTTAGTATAGTATAAGTGTGTCTCTGGAATTTCGGGCATAGGTTGAGGGGGTACTTGTGCATTTTCCCTTTTATTTATAAGGTGGAGTTGTTTGTTCCATATAAGAGGATGAAATTAAACAATAATTTTTGTGTATGTATGGTAGGGTAAATTCCTATATGGATTATACTAGACCACAAATAGAGGATATCCTTTATATTTTACTCTATGGTCTTAGTTAAAAGAGACTTAGATTCTTTACATATTTTAGTTTGTTGTTTTAATTTTTACACAAGAAGAAAGAGACTTTACACATTTATTCTTCTTTATAAGTTTTGGACCACTTGTGACGCTACTATTAGGTCATGTAAAGAATTATTTGCATTTTTGCCTTTTAAACGAGTTGGTGTCTCAGTATGTTTCGTAGGGAGGGAGAAAAATATTTTCAAAAAATATTTTTTTATTTGATTGATACATTCTAAGTTTATTGTTTCTTCCCTCAACTCTCATCCCTCGTAAAATATTTTTTTATTATATAAAATACAGCCTTAATTTTTTATGTTGTCGTTAAAAGTTGGATTTATTTACCTCTAGCAAAACAATCATTATGAAATATTATAATCTAAAAGTATAAATTACATCCAACAAAATAATTATATAATCTAATTATTTTTTAATAGATAAAAATTAAAGGCCAGCTTAAAATAAAATGTAAACGGAAGTGCAAATGACACTTATCTTTCAAGTTAAGGAGAAATATAGCTCCTTAGCCTAAAATATAATACTACTGATACATTTTTTTTATTTTTTTTTAAAAGTTTCTTATTATCCGATTTTTTTTTTTAATCTTGCCCTACTATTCTATATTCGTGCTAGCTAGGAGTCCATTCGAGATTTGAACTCGTTATCAAAGTTAATTTCATATCTAAAATTCAAATACAAAATTATTAATTAAAATTAAAATAATCTCATTCATAACGTACTTTAAAATTATTGATAATTTTAACCCAAAATTTCTCTTAAACTAAATTTGGTTTCTAGTACAAGTTCTTTCGAGAATATAATGATGGCTTGTCTTATTAGAATTCCTCACAAATTGATTAATTTTATATTGATTGTGATTAGTTTTTTACATTCAAACTTTAAATCGATAATTTGAGCAAATTTATAAAAACCAAAATTTTCTATACTTACAAAATTTTACTTTGACTCGCCAAACTTTTAGAACCTTATCTTAAAAGCATTAGATTAATAATTAAGCAACCGTATGTGTGATCCTTCGATTTGTATGTCACTATTGCTGATCGATTTGACCATATTATTCTAGAATATTTTATAAATTTATTTGGTTACGATTTATTTTTGTACGTACACATTATGAAGGTTTTTATCTCCATTAAATTTATGTAAAAAATATAATTCATATAAAAAAGTCGTACACTGAAAAATAAAATAACTTTTAACAAAGATGACTGTATTCAATTAGATTCAAACTGAGCTTGATTAAAAATAAATATTTACTTACCGCTTTACTGTAATTGATTGATAAATGGAGTTTAATTTTGCTACAGTGCAAATTAAGTCGGCAAAACATCTTTCCCAAATAATGTGATTTTCATAATAAAATTCCCCTCCTAAGCCCTACTAAATGGGGTCCTCCTCCTCCTTAATATTCTCTTTCATCGTGATGATGATATCGTCACCAGAGATGAAATCAGAAATTTTTATTAAAAAATTTAAAATATAAATTTTTTTTACATACATAAAGGAATCAAAGATTATTCAACGTTTACTATATATAAAAATAATTTTAATTGTATAACAATCGACATATTTTTTTATCGAAAAAGATTCAAATAAACTCCTTAAATCTTACCTAACTTGGCTCCGCCCCTAATCATCATCATTAAATAGAACTTAAAGACTATATCCTTTTCCATTTAATCTCACCCATCTTCACAAACACCTCATTTTCTAAGAAATTTTATGCATGTGGGCGTGTTATTTATTGCATGAACCAACCCTTCACCCGTCTCTATCATTTTGCATTCCATACCAACATTAACTAAAACAAAATTTGTAATATATGATACAATTTGTGACTTAAAATACCAAAAGGGATTCAATGAATTCTAAAAATCAACCACATGGAACCTTATGTATGGAGAAGACACAACAACATTTGTTAGGCATGGGCATCATTTCAATTTCCAAATAAAATCATTCTACGATTTTATCGACCTTTTACAAATTTTGTCAACTATTCTGTCTACAACTTCAATAGAGAATTCGAAATGGAAAAGGTGTAGTACAAATGAGAATATCGTAGTCCAACGTCATTTCCAATTGTATCCCTTAAGACATGATCACAACTTAAAAAATCGAACTTACATTGTAGCAACAACTACTTTATTAATAACATAAGGTTAGAAAAATTGATTCTTTAAATTTGAAAAGGAAAGGATAAAAAGGAAGTAGATTTTTTTTTTGTTACTTGTAAAAAAAACTAAAGTTTTCTCACATGGAATTCGATTTCTTATTGGTCCACGTGTTTTCCACAAAATAGTTCCCCAAATCCTATTTGTGATTTGTTGGTCCAATTCTAGAAAATGAAATGAAAAACACCTATCTGTTTTTTCACTCAAATTCCATTCCATCCTTACAATAAAATGCTTATTCTTAAAATTTCTATCTTGGTGGAGATCCCACCACCATTACCATTTTCCCCCAAAAATCTTACAACATTATTTCCATTTTTCTTTCTCTTAATTCTCTCACAAAATTTCATTTGCACCTGAATTATTATCATGAAAATCATGTCTGCCACTTCAACAACCGTATAACTTATATCTCGCCACGTCATTTGTTTACTGTGTTTCGATATCGTTATGTTTTTCTTCTCCTTTTTACTTGCATTTGCACACTCGAGCTTTTGAAAACGGGACTCTCTAGCTATCTCCACTAGGTAACCGTAATGTCTGCATACAATCTACCTTCTCCGGACCCCACAACAAGGTCTGCATACAAACTACCTTTTTCGGACCCTACAATAAGATCTACATACAGTCTACAGTAAGATCGGTATACGATCTACCTTCTTCGAACCCTAAAGTAAGATCAGCATACAGTCTACCTTCTCCGGACCTCACTTGTGGAAAGATACCATAAGAAGTAGCAATGTCACGTTCTTAAAGTTAAATGCTTTTTCAAAAGAATCACAATAAAGAAACACTTGACCCGTGTATCACCCCAACTACTTCTTCAACTACATCCTCTATATATATAAACGCGCTAAAAAATAACTAGTTTAAATATTAGATATCGCGTTTTCAAAGAAACTCTAAAAATTAAAAAAAAGAAGCAGCAATATATAATAATGTCATTTTCTTATGCTAAAAACTGTTTACAACGGTTCTGTGTGGAGGAGTTCCAAATGGATACAGAAACCACACATAGTGGTTTTTTCTCTAGTGATCTTCTACCATCACTTGGAGCTCGAATCAACTACGCTACTAAACTCCGAAGATTCATCATTTCGCCTTATAATCCACGTTACAGGTAAGATAAAATGACTCTGATCGACTGATTGACATTTCCGCTTTTGAACTTAATGATTGTTATGATTTCAGGTGTTGGGAGATGTTTCTAGTTGTTATGGTTATTTACACAGCTTGGATTTCTCTGTTTGAAGTTGCATTCTTGTCATACAAGAAAGATGATACTCTGTTCATTGTTGACAACATTGTTGATTGCTTCTTTGCTATTGACATTTTACTTACTTTCTTCGTCGCGTATCTTCATCCAGAGTCTTATCTTCTTGTTGATGAACCTAAGAAAATAGCAATAAGGTATAGTTAAAGATTCAATCTTTATGTACATATATAAACAGAGGGAATGAGATTTTCTAAATTTCTAATTATATGTCAATGTGAGTAAACAGGTACTTGTCAACATGGTTCATTTTCGATGTATGTTCTACTGTACCATTCCAATCGTTGATACTCGTCTTCACGGATCATAAAGAAAGCGGAGGAGTTGGATTCAGATTGCTCAGCATGCTCAGATTATGGCGTCTCAGACGAGTCAGTGCCCTGTTTGCAAGGTCCAAAATACCACACTGTATTTGGTTTCTACATCATGAATTATGATCAATGCTAAAAAAACTCACATATATAAGCCGGTTTGCTTTCCTTCAGACTTGAGAAGGATATCCGGTTCAACTACTTCTGGACGCGATGTACAAAGCTCGTATCAGTAAGTCCTATCCATGCTTTAAAAAAAGATGATTTTAAAAAATATGTTTTTGACAAGCAACATGTGGTTTGTTTGGAGTTCAGGTGACATTGTTTGCAGTTCACTGTGCTGGATGCATTAACTATATGATTGCTGATAGATATCCTGATCCGAAAAAGACATGGATTGGTGCTGTATATCCAGATTTCAAGCAACTAAGTGTTGGGGATAGATACATAACTTCATTGTACTGGTCTATTGTAACGCTGACCACAACCGGTTATGGAGACTTGCATGCTGAGAACTCAAGAGAGATGCTGTTTGACATCTTTTACATGTTATTCAACTTGGGATTGACATCGTACTTAATTGGAAACATGACTAACCTTGTTGTTCATTGGACTAGTCGCACCAGAAACTTCGTATGCTTCTTCTTCTTCTTCCTCCTTCTCTGTCTCCGTATATCGCGTGTTCTTCATCTTAAACCTGTGAAGTCTTGTTTCTTTTGTAGAGGGAGACGGTGAAAGCAGCTCAAGAATTCGCGAAAAGGAATCAGTTGCCTCCAAGAGTGCAAGATCAGGTTTTGTCTCACATGTGTCTCAAGTTCAAAACAGAAACATTGAAACAAGAAGAGACTCTTAATGGCCTGCCTAAAGCCATTAGAACAAGCATTGCACACCATCTGTTTTTTCCTATAGTTCAAAATGTTCATTTGTTCCAAGGTGTTTCACGGAACCTCCTTTTCCAACTGGTAATTTTCTCCCCTTCCCTTGCCGTCTCTTTTGTTCTCTCGATCACTCTTGCATTGGTTTTAACAGTGTGATACTTTGATTTCTAAGGTTCCTGAAATGGAAGCTGAATACTTCCCTCCGAAGCAAGACGTAATTTTGCAGAATGAGGCACCAACTGATCTGTATATAATAGTTTCAGGAGCAGTGGTAAGTTTAGTTTATAGATTTTGTGCATACTATTAAAGCTGTGTTTGTCATGTTGTTAATCAGTATGTTATATGTTATTGTTGCAGGAATTTATAGCACAGATTGAAGGGCTAGAGCAAGTATGTATATTACTACATAGTAACTATTATTATTAAGTGTCAACTTTAGGATATATAACTAAATCTCTCTTCTCAATCATGTTCCCAAACAGACAATTGGAAAAGCTGTTGCAGGAGAAATATTTGGAGAAATAGGTGTTTTATGTGGGAGACCACAGCCATTTGCTGTTCGAACCACCGAGATTTCTCAGATTCTAAGGCTAAACAGGACATCATTGATGAACATTCTTCGAGCAAATCCAGAAGATGAACGGATAATTATGAACAATCTATTGATGGTAAGTAAACCAGATTATGTACTGGTAAATCATCCACTGTTGTTATTGCTTAGGAAAAAAAAAACGAAATTGACAAATCGGTTCTTTTTGTTAATCAGAAACTTCAGGGATTTGGAGGTTTTGGTTATGTGGACCACCAATCAAACGCAGGACCAGAAATCAAAAGGCATGATGATATCACACTTACTAGCATAGATATCAATAATTTGGAAGCTAGAGTTAAGAAGCAAGAGAAAGATGATGGACAAGAAGTAAACAAAACCATGAATGATTTGTCAATAAATCTTGAAAATAAGAGTGAGTTAAGTGAGCATAATGTAGAGCTCATTGGACCAGATGAGGGAACAAAGAGCTGTCAACTGAAGCCTGAGGTCCCCTTTTGTTCCAACTCTTGCCTTAAAAGACCCACATGTAGTACCAGTTCAAGTGGCTCTCAAGGGACAAAATCTACCCACCATAAGAAGAGAATCACCATTCACATGAAGAAAGAACCATTGCATCACCAGTTTGGGAAACTAATCATTCTACCTGATTCACTACAAGAGCTCTTCAGAGTAGCAGGTAATTACCTTTCATTTTGTGAAAGTTGAAAGAACGCCGATCATTCTTTCTCACTCTGGAGCTTCCTCCAACTGCAGGTCAAAGATTTGGAGGTTGTGATTTCCAGAGAGCTGTAAATGCAGAGGATGCTGAAATAGATGACATTGATGTTGTCAGAGATGGCGACCATTTGTTTTTCCTTTAACACAAATGCTTGAGCATAGAATATAATCATCATTGATCGCGAATCAAAAGTGTAGAGAAGAGGTTCAAAGCAATTGTATATTGATCTCATTGTGTAAATGTTAGGCTAAATGATTCAATCTTTGTATCTCCAAAGGGAGAAATCAAAGCTGTAGATGTAATACATCAATTACAAGAATAAGTTCCAACTTACTACAGAAGGATTACACTATCCTGTTCTTTCCCTGAATAACAACATAGAGCTTTAAGCCTTTAACACTTGAATAAAAATTGTAATTATCTCTGTATGCACTACACAAACAAGATGTTCATCGAAAATTCCCCGCCTCAAGTATCACTCGAGTAGAAGTTTCAGATGGAAATTTCAGGGAGCTTCATCTAAATGGAACATTTGTGAATAAGCTTCCATGAGGTCACTTCCAACCTAATGAACCGACTTAAACGAATTAAAATGCCATCTGAGATTGCTGAAACATGTTCTCTTGGGTCATCTGAATCTCCGCTAATACTGGAAAAAATATTTCTTCTTGCAAGCAAAGTATCAATCATACACTTCTAGAAATTATTGGAATAGGATGAGCTTCTGTGTTGAATACATACTCATCCAAAGGGATCGTGGTGCTATTACCGAACAGCAAATAGATGTATTTGAGTGTTTCACCCAAGAAAAAAGTCTCCATCTTGTCTCTTCTTTGTGGAGGAATAACAGTAACATCGTCAAGAGAAGTGTAACCTCCAGAATCAATCTTAGTGTACTTCTCAAATGCCTCAAAAATTTGCCAGCCCCATTCACGATACCTGAAGAAGAGTCCACAAAGTTAACAAACTTAGTTGTTCAAGCCCATAAAGCAAAAGTACACAACTTTAAAATAAGAACATACTTTGAATCGCCAGTAATGCGATACAGATAAAACAATGATTCAACAGTTTCAGGGCGCAAAAGATTGTGACGATCAGCAGGCTTTATGATTATGTCATTCAAATATTTCGAACTTTTGTTCCCACCACCAGGACCACCTTCAGAATTTCCCTGCTCGAAGAAAACAAGATACCAGAAAAACATTTATGATGCAAGAATTTTTCCAATTATGTCATAATAGTACTTCAAGTCAGGGTAGACATATGAACACTATCATTAATTTATATTGCATCTCACTAATGATGATATTAGATTGTTCAAGTCAAGATAGGCACATTTTCACTCTGATTGTTTTCCAGATTGGTTTGATTCATTTCAGTTTGACTTTTTATTTTTGACTTAGAGCCCCTTTGGATTGGCTTAATAAAAGTAGCTGATACGTCAAAAATAAAAAGTCAACCTGAATGACTTTTAAGTCAAAAAATAAAAAGTAGGGTAAAACGTACTTTTGGTTTTTAACTTATTTTAAGTCTGTCAAACCCTTCCCAACTTATTTAACTCAATTTTGACTTATCTTAAATTATTTTTTATATTTGTCAAATACTTCCAAAAGTAAAAAACCGACATAAAAGTAGGTTTGGCCAACTTTTAAGTCAATCCAAACACCCTCTTAGAAGCTACTTTTATTAAGCCAATGCACAAGGGCCCTAATTCTTACATCTTTTACAACTGATTAATCCGTGTTACATCTAGACATAAAAGAGTTAAAACACAGATCAGAAGTTTAAGATATGCAACAGAATTCTTTTAACTTTCAAAAACTCACCTTCCTCAAAAAAGAAAAGAAAAAAGACCGATAAAGGAAAACTGAAAACACCACCTTACATAATATGATAGTTGCCAAAAGTGATGAAGGAAATAAAAATGTTTCAACTCACCTCAATATTGAAATAAGCTATTTCTGGAGCAAGGCCAGTAGAGGTTACTGAGTATATTTCCACGCAAGTCTTAGCCAGATCTTCAGCAAGCTTTAGGTTTTCCATATCTTCAAAAGTGAGCAAGTTCTCTCTCATAGCTCTTTCCTTTGTCAACCCCTTTGTAGCACCAAGGGCTAGGGTACCAGGAAGGAAACACACCTGCGGATGATGTCAAATGATATCAAACTTATAAGAACAGACATCAACATTTAAGATACGGCTTTCATACATTTAGGAAAACAAGTCTCATTGTGAATAGAAAAGAAAGAGGCAGGAGAAGATTAATTTCTTTAATTAAGATTCGAGATTATATACTTCAATAAAAAGCACATTACTGAAATGTATACCCTAGCTAGTGAGGTAAAGCTATATGATATCTGCAACTTGTAATCCATCATAAATCAATGCACTCAGAAGAAGAAAATCAAAGTTACGGCCAGTGATTTTAGTATGTTAGTGAACTCTTTGAGCGAGCAAAATGAATGAAGAATTTGGAGAAAAAGAAAAGAAAAAAACGTTCTATCAGCATAAGAAATTTATAATAGAGAATTGGCTTAACATATCAAGGAAAGGATTTCCATGTTGCTTAAGAAGATTAATTATTTTTCAAAAGGAAAAAATAGAATTCTGCGGCTAACTGTGGCATCGTGCAGCTGATTCCCTGTTAGTCCCATTTTGACCTTTTCACTTTACAATGCTGAAGTATATTTGAAAAAGAATAATAAGAGAAATGGCATACCAGGTGATCCATCTTTGGACTGAAACCACCTTCTTGCCCATATGGCAATTCTCCCACAAAGACCAAGCCATTTGGAACAGATTTGCGAACAAGAAGGTGCCTGACACCTTTAATTGCTTCGACATACATATCGTACAAGTATGAAAAGTTAGTTCCTTTCTGCTGAAGCCACACTTTGATAAGATACTCATAATAGCTATCACCACGAGATCCAAGTCTAATATTGTCTCCACTAAACTGTCCGGATTGAGGGCTGACATCATCATAAGCTCAAATGATGAGTCAACTGGTATAACAGTTCTTTATTTTCTTAATCCAACAGTAGACAAGTAAGAATAAATAAATATAAAAACCACCCATTCTTAAACATGTAATCTGCAGGGTTAAATTCCAGCTTTTGCTGAGATACTTACATGGCACAAGAAATGGTGAAGTATCACTTGAAGTGGCTGAGCATGGAAAGAAAGATGTGGCGGTGAAAGCATATGCTGAAGCAAGTGAACAAGATATTTTCACCTCGACCCATTCAGAGATCCTAACCACAACTAGATGCTAGTCTTAATATGTTAAGGAAGCATGAATATATATGTGTGTTGTGTGTGTGTGTGTGTGTGTGTACTAATAAAGGTACTCGCTTATAGCAGACATGCCCTTTCTTTCTTTGGTAGTAATGGTGTCTGAGCCAGCTTACATGCAACTCAATGAATCCACCTAGGTACCTACTACCTTACACCTGTACAAGTACCGGTTAATTCTATCCTAATGTACACATCTAGCATGGTTCTACAACAAGAATTAAATGTACTGATAAGGATGCCCATATGTTCTGGTTGTGGAGAGGAAAGTGAAATTTAGGTTTAGACTTCGTTTACGATTAGATAACTTGGAAATCATGAACAAATAGTGAAGACATTTAAGGATCCTTGGCAAGAAAGATTTGTGTTTCAAATTTTGAAACATGTCTTGCAAATTATATGCAGGATTTCTGGAAGTGAGCACAAAAGCATTTTTCTAACATGATACAGTGAAGAAGGAATTGGCAATGGAAAAATTAGTTTAGTGCAACTGTAAGTAGGAATTTAGAATCAGGAGACAGAAGAGTAACCAGCAATACATATACAACTAGATGTAGAAAATACTGTTCTGGTTTTCTTGCATGTTGAATAGTAGAAGTTAATTGGCTCTACAGATATCGAGTGAACTGTAGACCATCTTCATCATAAGATGTTCTTAAACAGTTAATCTTGTCAGGAAAGCTATATTTACTTTAACAATAAAACAAAGAAACAGGCAGAACATAAAGAAGCCTTTTTTAAAATCATATGGTTATGTTACCGTTGCATTGAATGCCCTACATTATTAGAAGTTGCATTGAATTACCGGTCAACAAGACGCATTTCAAGATACTGGAATTATTGCAGAACATGATATAATTACTTTTCAGATATTCCGAGGGCAAGCATCTGCCTATACAAGCTGGCATAGGAAAATACGATCTTAGTTACTTACCTAATGTATATAGGGACCAGTCCCTCCACCTTTGGCAAAGTCTTTATATGTTGTAGAACCTTCATGGCTTCTGTGCTATACTTTGGATCACCTGTTAAATAACTAAGATAATTAAATTCAAGCTGTATAGTTGCAACTTCCGCAGTGCTACTCAGACCATCAGGAGCAGGATGTGCAGACTTTTCACGCAGGACTACATCACTGTATGGAATATCGGATGGACTTGCTGTAAAAGCAGTAAGTAGGCGATCAGCCAAGTTCTTAGCATTTTCCAGGTAAATAGATGGATTAGGCCCTTTCTGTTCTGGAATTCTCCCTTGACTTCCACCACTTAAGTGATAAGCACTCAAAAGACCACCTAGAAGTCGTATTGTAGTTTCAAAGAGATTTACTTGGCCTTTCTTTTCAATCCTCTCAGGAAGATGTTTCTCAATCCACGAGCCTGCTTCATGAACGACTTCATCAGCTCCCATAATCATAGCCGTGTCTAAAGCGTCAATAATTGTAGCTCCCAAACCTCCTAAACCATTAACCCCTCTATGGCTTAAGGGCATAAGTTCATCATAACCCATGGCATGGGCTTTGTATCCAGACCAGGCATGGATAAATGCATCTTTCACCTTCTGTTGTCTTGCCACCCATTCTGGCTCCTCTCTTTTCATGGACTCTTGAATGGATCTATTCCTACTAATTATTTCATCAGGAGATAACCGGGGTGGAAGTCTAGGTGGTTTCCTCCAAAATCTCCTGAATTTACCACTTCCATGAGTCATGAGATTTTCTCCTTCCTTTGATCCATCATTTTTTGCTATACCATCAGACACGGGATGGACAGCACTTTTATTAGTCAGTACTAGATATGCTAAACCACCAAGCATCAGTAACACGAGAAGTTTCCCAGTGCTACATTTCAAATAATCTCGTTTCCCATTACTGGTTAATAGAACCTGAGAAATTACCTGAAAAGATAAGCAGAACTATAAAATTTCAGCATACAAGAGAAACTACAAAATTCTGCTGCAGAAATACTAAGACCTTTCAAGGAATGAAAATGATCTGGAAGCTATCTCAATTTTAAAAGCAAGAATTTATATGTGCATTACTGGTGCTAGGGAAGATAGTCAGAGATAAAGCACACTTCTAATATGCAAGCTATAGGCAAAACCCACCATATATGGCCATTTAGGTGCTACAAAAACAAATTATTTAAGTAAAGGTAAAATAGCAAATTCAACATAATTTGGTTCCTGAAGTCATTAATGTCACAAGTCAGGGTCACTACATTGTGGGCAAATACTGACGTGCTCCGAGTCTCAGCCCACTGTCCTCACTCGGGTCTTGGATCCATTGAATCTGTCCTTAATCGCCCTAATGTAAGCTGCAAGTACACGTCTAGCTTTCAAACGACTCCATAGAACCCTCCAAGGGACTTGGGGGATGTTCGAATTGACTTTTTTAAAGTGGCATATAAGTTAAAAGCTAAAAGCAATAAGTTGGGAACACCCATTTTTTGGCTTTTGACTCTTCTTTTTGTTCTTTTTCAGCCAAAAAAAAATGCTTAAAAGCACTTTTTGTGTTTTTCGAACACTTCCAAAACAAACAAAAAGAGTTTAAAAGTCGAAAGCTACTTAAAATAAGTCAATCCAAATACCCACTTTGTCGAAAGCTTTTTCTAGGTCAACAAACATCATATGTTCCCTCTTCCACTCCCTATACTGCTCCGTCAATCTCCTTACGAGATGTATGACTTCAGTAGTCTCTGGAACGATGCACCATAAGTACACTATATAAAGGTTGCTGCCCGTTAAGTTAGGCCTTGGTCCTAACTCACACCTCAAAAGCTAACTCAAATGGAAGAGGATTGCCCAAGCCTTATTAGGAGTCCACCCATCTTGTTAACCACCAATGTGGAACTTTTGTCATTCTTTAACACCCAACTTCATGCCCAGTGCTTCGCATTTGGTGCATTAACAATTTTGATTTTGGGGGCCCTCATACCATGTTAAATTAGGCTTAGTTCACACCCCAAAAGCTAGCTCAAAGGGAGGAGAATTACCAAATCTTTATAAGGATTCTTCCACACCCAAATTAAAAAAGAATTTTCACACGTTTGACCCATGGAAAAAAAATTAGGTCCGCATGTGAGGAGTGTGTTGAGAGTATCATGAACTAATAAAAGTGTGTTCTCTCTAAAATTAGAGAGAACACACTTTTATTAGTTAATGATATTCTCAACACTACCCATACCAAGAAGAAAAGAAAACTTTTGTAAGGCACCAAATATACTATTTAGACTACATCAAAGCACTCCGTATTTCTATGAAAAAATCCAAGCTACTCGAATTCATGATATAAGATATGCCAGAATTGACAATAATATGAGAGAAAATGGAAAACTGCTCTCTTTCTAACTTATGAGGTGCAATTTCCATTTGAAATATTCAAGAATATTTAACTGTCTGCCATCATATTGATTCCTTAAGTTAATCTTCAGAACTCCAATTTATTTGAGATTCAAATATGAATGGCAAAATGACACTTTTTATATCACAATTTTATGTTATTTTATTATTATTTTTTATATTTTTCCTATTTCGTCTTTATTAGTGACGCTTATTACGTGGCATGAATCATGAACTTCAGATATATGGCAACAGACTTAATTAGAAAGGAACAACTCAATATGTGAATGAAATACTTTTTCACACTCTTTAGAACAGTCAAATCAGACCATATTAAAGGGGTTAATGCTGTTGTAAGCAAATCGCTACGCAAAGCTGTGAGCAATTACCACTCTTTCCAGTCGAGATTTCCAACTTCCTCCTTTCTTTTGATCATGTCTTAGATTATCAACTAAGCTCTGAAGGAAATTAAACTGGACAACTCTTTAAAACTCAATTCCGTTACTCAAGGTTATTATAAGGAGCAAAGTAGATGATTAATGAATATATAACCAAACCTATCAGTGAACTAGGCTATTACATGAACACTGCCAAGGGTAGTGAGTGTAACAAATTCATCCAATAAACATCTAAAGAATATGGAGAATACATATTAAAATAGAGAAGACGCACGGAGAAGTATTTAGAAAAAGACTGATAGCTGAATAGAACATTAAGATCCCTTCCCAGGAAAATTCTGCATATTGATATCACATTCCCTCTTTTGTACATTCATCCAATAAACATCTAAAGAATATGGAGAATACATATTAAAATAGAGAAGACGCACGGAGAAGTATTTAGAAAAAGACTGATAGCTGAATAGAACATTAAGATCCCTTCCCAGGAAAATTCTGCATATTGATATCACATTCCCTCTTTTGTACAATTGTTTTTTTATGAAAAGGTAAAGCTTCTTTTGAATAATGGTTTCACATATCCTTTACCAAGAGTCCAACAGAAGTACCTTCTCTTGATGTAATTTTTTTGGACTTTTATAATTCTTTTTAGTATTGTGCATATGTTTCCTGAATATCAGAGTTTTACAATCAAATCACAAATTCGTCCAGGTCTGATCAAGGTCTTAAAATTGATCGAGTTCACCATCAATAAGCACAAGAATTAAATGATACACTAATCATTAGCCAAACTCCAGCTTTCCACCAATAACCAAAAGGAATCATGTCTCCTTAGGGTAGAGATTCGCCGATTAACCTTTGGGGTTGAGAAGAAAGGAATGTTTAGTAAGAGACAACAATGGTCTTATCCATAGCTACTCTAATTGGTTTTTAATTTAGTTCTCTCAAATATGTTAGCAGTAATATCTTATATTTATCCCATGGCAATGGGGTCCAAATCTTATAATTGAAATAGAAACTAAAATTTAGTTATCACCACCTTCAACCAAAGTTGGCTATCTCTTTTTCTTATGTAGCCTTTACAGGCTGAGACGATAATAACGCTTTTAAAGGTGTCCGGATACTAAGATGCACAACATAAAACTTGTTAATTATATCGAAAAAGGTGGTTTCGTGTAAGTACAACACTGTTGCAGCACCCTTTCATGTAACAAACTGCATACCAAGTCCAAATATTAAAATCCTCCCCCCGAACCCCACCGCCAAAACCACAAAAAGAGGGGCATAACGAAAACTTTCAGAATGAGAGTGCCGATGGTTAAAAGGCTTTAAAAGAGAACTCAGCTCAAAAAGGAAAGTGGTACATTAATATAAAAATATAGTATACTACTTAGCTCAACAGCTTACTTGAGACTCCTTCAAAAATTAGACAATCTAATATTCAAATCAATGGCCTATCAATCATTGGTTGACCAGTCACGGAGCTCTCAATGCTAGCTATATACCAAATCAAGTTTAAGAACAACCATGTTTGACTTGCATATATTTTTTTATTTCTCGTATTCCGAACTGGCTCTTACTTTCTCAAATTGAGTGGCTTGTGAACATTATTTCCCATTTTAGCCACACTTTCACCAGGGCATACTTCAGTTCACATCAGAGAAAAAATACAAAAAAAAAAAAAGTTATCTGATCATATCTTTCAGTTAGCAAAACGACATTTCATAACCAAAAAGCCTCCTTTTCCTCCTCTCAAACTACGCAAATAGACAAATCAGGTTATTTCCAAGCTGTTCTATGAAGAAAACAAATCAGCGCACTTCTAAACTAATCCTTACTCTGTTCAGAGATCGAAATTCAAAAAAAATTAAAAACAAGATTCAAAGGAACGAATTCTGATTGAGCTAGCTGACCTGAGATACGGATCGCTGTCTGAACTTGGCGTTATCGTAGTGCACATCTTTCATTGAATAGGGCAATGATTTCGACATCGTCTGATTCTCGATACAAAACAAAAGAGCAACAACTTCAGATTCTCAATTTGGCTCTGCCTTACAGCAGCCGTAAACGCGTGTGTATTGCCTACTATAGTACAGCGGCGCGTGCACGTATATAGGAGTGTATTATTGTACAGAACCAGATGAATATTAAACTGGGTGTCGCCGGAATCCGGAGGTGACCATCGATGGAAGAGTGATGAGATATGGCATTTGAAGGAACGACCAAATTAGTCCAATTAAACCATGGTTAAATTTTATTTTCTACAATATATATGTCAAATCAATAAATACATACAATAATTATATATACTCATATTTATTAAATGATATATTAAATTTAAAAGATTGGGTGAAATAACAAACATTTAAATCATATTACTAATGTTATAGTTACTATTTAGGAAAATTCTAATTTGTAGGTATAGTTTCGTTCAATCTTGTTATTAATCTGATTTGTATAATTCGCTTAATTTTTATAAGTCTAAAATTTGGATAATTCGATTTTTGATTATATAATTAAAAGGTTTGTTTATGCTTACTCTAGCTATTTATATATGACTTATAAAAAATTTCTAATAAGTTACAACATTTGTATATTAGCAAGCGAAACATATAAACGAGCTCTGCATAATTCTTAATGCATAAATATAAAATTTATATACATTTATTATATTTGTATGTTCACAAGTGAAATATACAAAAATATACAACCTGTAGCCAACAAACAATCAGAAATATACGATTGCAGCCAAGCAAAATATATAAACGAATTCTAAATAATTCCTAAGTGCATAAACACAGAATTTGTATTAGTTATTATATTTGTATCTTCGCAAGTGAAATATAGACGGAAATATACCACTGCGACCTTTATATCAAACAGAACGATAGCTACAAAGCGCAATTGACGAAATTATATCAGGACTTGAACCCGATACCTCTTATTAAGGGTGAAGCATACCCATATTGATAATTATAGAGCTTTATTATGTATTATATTTGTTATTTTTCAAATTTTCATTAAATTAACAATAAGGAAATTACTTTTGTATAAAAAAGTTACTTATTCTCGCAACATTTTGTTTTTCAATAACCTAATCCTTGTATCGATTATATATGTAATAATATTTTTGATACAATGCAAAATAATAAATAAATTCAAGTATGATTTAGGTGGTATTTGGGTTGGAAGTAAGTTATATATATAGATTAATGTAAAAAATAGTTATATACAAACCAGTATGTCAAATTAGTATTATAAATTTATAATGTATGATTTAAATCTTTTTATTAATGTTTAGACAAAATAAAACATGTTCTTACTATTAAGAAGATTAGTTTTGTTATTTTACCATTTAAGCAAATTTATACTACTCAATTACTTATTATAGCTATTGTTTGCTATAATTATCATTTACTACTAACATTATACATTAATTTAGTGGGCTAACTTCGAGTTTGTATAATTAGCCACATTTGTATTTGTATAATTCGCTAGAATATACAAATACATATGTATAATATACATAATTTAATCGATATACATATATAATTCACCTCTCTCTCACTCTCTAACCTCTCTCGCTCGCCTCTCTCCTCACTCTCTAACCTCTCTCGCTCTCCTCTCTCCTCCCTCTCTAAATCTCGCTCGCCTCTCTCCTCTCTTTCCCTATCTACTTGCTTTTTATACAAATGCATATGTATAATATACAATTATCTAACTAATATACCTATACAATTCACCTCTCTCCCACTCTCTTCCCTCTCTCTCGCCTCTCTCCTCCCTATCCCAATCTCGCTCGCCTCTATCCTCCCTCTCCCAATCTCTCTCGCCTCTCTTCTCTCTCTCCCAATCTCGCTCGCCTCTCTTCTCTCTCTCCAAATCTCGCTTGTCTCTCTCCTTCCTCTCCAAAACTCGCTCTCCTCTTTCCTCCCTCTCCCAATCTCGCTTGTCTTATATACAAATACTATATAATATACAATTATCTAAGTAATATACATATACAATTCACCTCTCTCCTCCGCATAACATGTAGCTACGAATTATAATTAATAAACTATAGCTATAGAAAATAATTAGGCTATTTTTTTTAGTGGCTATATGTGAAAATATATATATATATATATACATATATATATATATATATATATGCGTGCGCGTGTGCGGAGATCAGTTGGGCCAAAGCCCCATCCAATGTACGCTTTAATTAAGTCCAAACATGGTTAAAATACTTTCATCAGCCTATTTTGCTAAATATACTCCTTCACCTACCTTTGTGGCACATTTTATATCTTCGAAAATAAGTTTTTTTCCTTTTTTAAAAGAATATTATGTATTACTTGTTATTTTCTTATTTGGGTGAAATAACAATTCCATTCCATCAGATTTTTTTCTTTGTTATTTTTTCGACTCGAAATAATATACATTAATAGATTCAACAAAAAACGATTTACATAATCTGATTAAATACAATATCTAATTCTACGTAACTTTAATTGTGGGCGATTATACACAAAAAGAAATTGCCATGCAGCTATTTCAATTCTATAATTTGAAAAAAGAGAAAATTTAGTGGGAAGAATAGGAAGTAATCAACAATCAAAATTCAGAAGTACTGTTTATTCATTAAAAAGGAAAAAAAAATATATGCCTTTTTAAAAATATCACGTTACTAGAGAACTTCAATCGAATCATTAACGATTAAAAACACATCTTAACTATTATTTTATAAATTTCATAACTCAACAATGCATTATTTGATATCTCCTTTTCCTACCTAAGTTATTACTCGCGATGTTATACTAAAAACACATACCAAAAGAAGGACCACAATTATCAACGGATCGGAAAAGAAAAGATATAGCTGAACCCCTTCATCGAAAAATTATGTTAAACGTATAACACTGAATTACCACTTAATAGTATTCTTAGCAACTACCTTCACCACTACATATACTCTTAACCGTGTGAGTACTTATTAATCTTGTATGTGGCGTTGTTTATACTAAATTTTAAAGCGACAAAAAATAAATTACAATCACAATAAAATAAGAAGAAACATGTAATTTAATTCATCAATATTGCGGGTACAATTTTGTTCTCTTCCCATCAGATTCATCTGTAATGATTTAGATTTGATCTACATTGATATTCCATCGATTTTTGAAATATTCGAGATCTTGATCTTTAAACATAATATTATGGGATATTTTGAGATATTTAACATTTTGATCTCTTTATAAAAAATTTCGAGATGCAAAATTTTATCACGAAAGTGACCGAGCAAGCAGATGATTTCCCCTAAGGCACCGATGGACCAACGCCTTCGTATGTATAGTACCCTTTATATAGGCATGAATTAGGGTTTAAGGTTGAATAGCCTCCAAGAATTCTACACTTTCTAGAGTCTCAATTCGAATTGAACACGTCTTGTATAGTCCCATAAAATTTCAACATCTACGAACATATTAGGTGAAACTACAATTATAGAAGGTGCGTGATATAAATGCATTAAACTACTAGATTTGATATAGTAGAATTTTGGTACTAGTAGTATTTATAAGTAGTAATTATATGTATAGAATTGTGTAACCTATCGAGAGAAGAGTTAGGAGTTTTGGAGTTAATTAGGACGCATGATGAATGTGCATGGAGTAAACGGAAAGTAAGAAACTTTGTTTTTAACCCCATGAGGCAAGCAACTTCCCTCAAATGGTGGAATTTCCATATGCTTTTTCTTCCCATTTCATGCCCTATCATATGGACAATTGACATTTCTGATACACTTGTTTCATCGAGTTCAATTCTGAGTATAGAGAAAATTTTATTATATATATATATATATACACGCTCATTTCCTTCTCTTATATTTTCATCATAACTTGTTCAGTTTCTCTATGGTGTAGTGGTGAGACTGTTTCATCGAACCCTGAGTATATATAGAGAAAATTTTGTTATATATATATATATATATATATTCATTTCCTTCTCTTACATTTTCATCACCACTTGTTCAATTTCTCTATGGAGCGTCAAGAGTTGCATTGTGCGATTCAGATTTCGTCGAAACTCTAATGTAGACTTCAAGTACCGAAAATTTAGACAATTGACTTAATTTTATAGTACTACTCTATTCAACTCTATATAGTCAAACAAGAAATTAACAGCTACACGAAACATACTTACAAGTCAAAATACACAGCAGACATCTTTCTTAAAATCATATCTTTCTCACGTGCAACAATAGAATAAGTTTGAACTTTTGTTGGTGATCGATTGTTCAAAATGATAAAATATTCAAAAACTTAGGTGTATTGAAAATATTTTCTAAAAAAATAAATGGTTTGATTTTTATTTTTATTTATTTTTCGGGTTGATACGTAAGTAATAAAATATTACTCCATCGTAAAAATATTTGTATATATTTATCCATAATCAAGGCATGTATCTAGTCTAAGTTACTAAGTTACTCTTAATATTATTTTTAATGTAGTATTCTGATGAATACAACATTTCTCAATTAAATTCAGTAAAACTCTTCAAAAAACTTAGTTAAAAGTATATAATTTTACTTGAGAATTGCAGAGAAAATTGCTGCTTGTTATTATAATTTTTTTTCATTTTACAGTATTCATTATACTTCATTGACCACTCAATACTGTTAAGAGTATTAATTATTGACTTCACTTACTCTTTGTTTGCGTTGTTTTTCTTTATATATCGTTTCATAATGCACCGTATCGTCAAGTGTTGATCAATACAACATTTGAATAGATCATTTTTCCTCATCACATAATGTCACACATATGAGCATTTTAAAATATAATCTTATAAGAAAAAAAAGGTACGAGATAGATCTATTAAAAATATGGTATAAAGAATAAAATAGGATTAAGAAGATAAATTGAGAAGATGAAAAAAAAAGGTAATGCAATGCGATCACACCAAAATAATTGCTACACAAAATGGACTTATCGTTATTACCTAACGATGGATTAAAATGACAGACTACGATAAAATTTAAACAACAATCAAAACTAACACGTCATAGTTATTTAAACAAACAATACAATGCAACAACCATCCAATCAATTTAGAAAGAAAAGAAAATAGAATCACTTCAATAATAATACAAAAAAAGAAAGATATATACTAGTCATTGATTCAACACCATGGCAAAAAATCACAAAATAGTAGCTAAAAATTATATGAAGAGAACTTGTGTATGTCATTATAACAAAATAATATA